AAAAAAAAAAAAAAAAAAAAAAAAAAAAAAAAAAAAAAAAAAAAAAAAAAAGCAAGTCCCCTAAATTTTACTTTTACAACAAAATAAATTTTAAAAATATGCGTATTGTTTTGAAGGCTCTTTTTGAAATATAAATTTTTAACATTTAAAATGTATAGAAGGGTTATATTTAAACAGGAAAGAAATGACAATGATGTTTTAATTTTTTTTAAAAATTATTAAACAGCATTTATTTTAATCAAAATAAAATAACGATTTATTTACTTTTACCATTTTAGCCCTTACTAGACCATACTGACTTTAAATTAAGTAACATAAATGTCAAATGCTTATACCTACTTTTTCAGTTTGGATTGATATATCAGCTACTTAGTAAGAAGATGATATACATGGAACAGCTGAGGAATATTTTAAATGTAAATAAATTAGCCCGAGAAGAACAATTTAAAAGGGTAAGGCCTTTGATAACATCATAACAAAACAATACAATTTTAATTTCATTAGATCAATTGATCATAACCAATTAAAGTTGAACATGTTAAACAATAGAAATAAAACGGCATGCAATTGGTTTTTATACATGTTTGGAGAAAAAACGTGTTAAAATTTCTTTTCTAAACTCTATGAAACAAATGAGACTCTTAACTTACATTTTTAACATTCAAGGTGGAAAAAATAGAACTAAAATCTCCTGAGATACCGGTACATGGAATGATTAAGTATTTCAGTAAGTAAATTACCTTTTTTTTAAAATATAAAATTAATGAAAAATATATTTATTTGTTGCTCATTAAAAAAAAAAAATAATTCATAACTGCATGAATTTATTAAAATCTTTTACTTTATACATATTTTAAAGCTATCAACATCTCAAATTGATTAAACTTTAAATATTCTTAATCATAGTTGATAATTGTGCTTATATTCTAGCACCTACCAATCTGCCCTCAAAACGGCCTGAAGGGTTCACAGCTCTGGTTTCAAGCAATGGATCTGAGTTTAAACTTGGTGAGACCGTCCACTGTTTTACTCAAGTACGGCTAAACCACGGAAATCACTTTGACCCATCAACTGGTAAATTCACTGTACCTAGTAATGGCGTTTACCTTATCAGTGTGTGTGTAGAAAAATGCTCAGGACAGGTTATGTTACATCTAGTTAAACAGCAGCCTATAAAGTCTTCATGTAATGTTATCAATCAAGTGGTAGTCAATGATAAGGAAACCAATGCTTGTCTTGTCGCTGTTGAAGAGCTCCTCAAAGATGAGGAACTCATGATCAGGAGCTATAATCAAGGAAGTTTGAGAAGATTTTCTAGTTTCTCGTGTTTCCGAATATTCTAACTTGATTAAAGGATGGAACACACATTTTATATAATGTTCCATGCCTTAATTATACTTTATAAAAGGTACATATCCGATTGATGTAATCCAATAATGTATGTCATTCAACACTAAATACAACGTTGGTTAAGTTATACAGTTGTATTATAGGTAAAAGCTAAAATTGTGTTCTTTTCATAAAAGTATACATTCTTGTCTTTATGTGATTCCATTCCTCCAGCTAAATGTTGAACACAAATAAGGAAATTGTTATAATTTTTTTGGAAGGGGACACCAAACTGAAGATAGGAAAAATATTAAAACTCCTTAGCAATAGATTTTTATCTTATACATGTTTTTTTAAAATAATCATAGTATATAGCAGTATGGCATTACGAACTCTGAATAATATACTGTATAAGCGACGTTTAAGTTATGGTTTTTGTTTTGTTTTGTTTTTAAATGGTATTGAATAAAAAAATGATTAAACAATTATACTTTAGAGCAATTTGAAACTTATTTAGCCTCAGTATATGCGTGTGGTACATGATTTCCTTTTTGCTTTATTTAATCAAACGACAATTAATTAGACGCATGAAAAACAGCAACACAAACCTTCCAAACATTCGTGTAAAATGTAGTGTAGAAAATGTATTTCCAAAACTAAAAATAAAGTAAAGCAGGCCGTGGATCCTAATTGCAACGCGTTAATGTTTCTTTAATAGAATTGCATTTTAAATACAAGCTATTTATTTAAATTAATCTGCTACCCCATCCTGTGAGATTATATAAAGATTTTATTTTTAAATTTCCACGCATGCTGAAGAAATTATAGAAAAAACGTTTTAGCATCAAAAGAAATTTATTTTATAATTTAAAAAAATATATACACGCTTGCTTTGTCATTGCTTCCTGATTAAAAATAAATTACACACAAATTCCAAGTACTTTATTAAATTTTTGTTGTTTTAACTTTGTATTGTGTATTTTATTTCAAGTTTATTGTCATTTGCTATTTAGTTCAATATATTGTGTTGGTATGTTCTTAAGGATTATCATTAAAATATTTTACATGTATGGTGTACTTGTTATTTTTTTTTTATGTTGCTGTTTGTAAACTTGACTGTGTCATCTTCATATTGTCACAGGTAGCCTGTTTGTTTCATTAATATTTTTTTAAAGTCTTCAAAGCTCTTTACTTTCATCACGCTCTCATATAATTGGATCTTCATGGCAAGTGTTGAAATATCACTCTTAAATATTTGCTTTTTTTAATTCATTAGGATTGTGTTAGAATTGGCGTATCTGTATATGATAGATGCATAAAGTGAATGGCTCATTTCTATCTAGAATTGGAAGTTTCTTAGCAGCTTTGGAACGAGCTAGTAAGTAACAAATGATTCTATAGAGTAGAACATTTTTCCTGCTTAAAACATAAGTAAGTTACTTATTGAGAGATTTAAGATTGAAAAAATACCTTGCAATACATATTTAAAAAAAAATAAAAATTAATGGTTCAACTGGCATGTGATATAATACGAACGAAATGCAAGCTGGACTTTTAAAAAAATGACCATTCAATTAAACAAATTAGCAACATTTACCCTCGAAAAAGTTCAAAAGTAAATACGCTTCCATAAATTTGACAGCATTGCCATATTTTGCAGCCTATCAACTTAGATATAGAACTAAAAACAAACTTTTCCCCATATTTTTCTAAAGTTAAACAGTAGCTAAAAATGTTGATTCACGGAATAAACTAAACAATTGTTAAAAATATCTAATGAATTGTTCAGTGCAATAGCTTATATTTGTGTAACAAATTGGCGTTTAAGAACAACACATATACAATAATTTAATTTAGATAAGCGTTGTCCACCATCAGAATAGTAATCTGCCACACAACTTGTATTAACATGGCTTCCTACTACCAGAAAAACTGATATATGCCAATTGAAGTCTTAAAGTAGATGTGGTTTTCAAATCAATAAGAATATGCTCACACTGCTTTTCTAGTTTGTTGAAAAATATGATGTATATAAATATATATATTTGTTACTAACCTTTCATTTAATTGTGTTCCATTTTAAATTTGTAACATTTTTTTTTCTTAATATAATATGTTCACAATTGTAATGTATATTTTAAAATTATATCAGTTATTTGATCTCGCAATTCAATTAAAAACACATTTTACGTCATTCGAATCCATTTTAAAAGATATAAATTTAGTTCTTTCAACATTTCTTAAATTTAAATTATTTTTTTGAAAAAAAATAATAAAAGCCATACGCATACAAATGAGAAGAGTTTACGACATGGCTTCTTTTTAAAGAGAACTTACCAATGTATTATCGAAACACTGCAATAATATTTAACATTAAAATATTGACATTTGACTATTTTATTGTATTTTGTCGTTTATCTTAATTTCAGTTCACAAGATCAAATTTTGATCAGAATTCGCATCAAAGTTTATTCAAATTTAATCAATTCTTCGTTACATTTTTTTTTGAACGCATTATTTAGTAAAACAAAATAGTGCTTTTAAAAGATTTGACAGGTAAATTTGACGAAAATATGATCGAGAGGTTATAAAGTCCTTTATTGTTTTGAGGTAAATGTATGAAATTGAGATTTATCATAATTAATGAATGCATCAATCATTTTTAAAGATTAAAAGCTAGAATTTTCTTTGTAAGTATAAAAAAATTAATTTTGATTGCCTGAAATATTTCCTTTAAAAAAAACCCTTGTATTTGTGTTGTGTAAAATTGTAATATTACAATGAAATTGCATTTTAATTATGTTTCAAATTAAAAGAAATGTAATTTATTTATTTATTTATTTAGGCATTTTATATATAGAGCTTACCTTAAAGCTCTAAGCGCTTTAATAATATTAAAACCATGTTAACTAAGTAAATTACAAATGAGACATTAGGATAGTAACTACTATACTATAGAAACAATTAAAATGGCTATAAAACGAGGACACTTTATTTATTTAGTTTGCCTTTTTTTCCAATTATTCCTTATATGTATTTTTAAGGTGTTTTTTTTAAATCAACATTTGTACGATTTTCTTGCCAATTATTAAATACTGATGTTAGTCTACTAAAACTTGTAGCAAAATAATTAACAATCTTAAACACGTAAATAAACTTTACCTAATTCAATCTGACTAATAACAGATTAAAGACAATAATACATGCTCATATATATGCTTGTAAAAATTGTGGCGATACTTGACTCAAAAGTACAGCAATTAATTCAGTTTCGTTTGAGGTAATTAATAAAAACCCTAGCTGTTTAGCTGTTGGCTATAAGAGATGGTCAAATCATGACTCGTCTCCTTAATCCACTCTTCGCAATCTGGTCAACTTGAATGCAAGTGCAGGTTACCCAAATACTTTTCCTACCTCCTTAGCTCTGCAAATTTGCTGGTAATCGCTTAAACGCGCATTTCAAGACAAATTCAATTTTGCTTCGCACATAGTGGATGATTGTGTTGTCAAGGAAGATTTCGTAGTGTTTTACATTGTTTCGCAGATTATTTCCAAAAAGCCATTATTTGCCCTTGGCTTAGAATTTGAAACTTTTCTTTTAACTTATTTGTTTTTTATTCTTTGAATTTTATTAAAAATATATTTTTTCCAAAATGGATTACCTTATCATTGTATAGGTCAAAATCTTTCCATGGTTTTGAAAGACAAATAAAATTAAATTAAGTGTCGTATAGAGAATGCTGTTAGTCATCAGAAAATCGTCTCTGATAGTCTTTCATGATATTTTCCTTATGTCTGTCAAAGAATACTACGTGAGATATTGTTGCTTCTCTTTTTTCCCCGAACTCTAAAAATACATTTCTCGTGGAATTTTCTCACGCTGCAATTTATATGCAAATCAATATTGTGTCTCTTATTTCTTTTATTAGGACATTTTTTTTTTCATTCGGGTTGTAGCTACTTGTACTTATCCGTGAAATCGTGATTATTCTGATTTTTTTTTTAAAAGTCAATAAAATCATTAGAAAAATTATACTCAAACATGTTCATAAGGGCATAAAGCAATTACCATTAACTTTTAACATCATGATGCTTTAGTGTTGGTTTTGTATCGGTAATCTTGTTTGGGGCGAATCGTCAGTAAATATGCAGAATGGTGACCTAAACATGTTTCGTTTTTAATAGCCTATAAAAGAGTCACTCTTTTGTATGCTATACCACCCTACAACCATTCCTGTATGAGTTATGTCAGTTAAACAAAACAACACTTTTTTACGAAACAATCAGTCATACATACACTATTTAAGGACATTACTCTAACGCTGAGGTTGTAGCATTTTATTTACGATCTACATCCAAATGTGTTGTATATACTACTATACAATACACTGGGCGTAAAAAAACCAAAACAACTTCTACTGCATTTTAGCTCAAATGAACTTTATGGGGCCTATAAAAAAATAATTTTCTCCTCTAATAACACATTCATGAGACGAAACACCAAAGAGATAATAATTCCCACACTTATCTCGGTTCGTTTTGGGACCCGATTTCCAAGCATGGGATCTAGAATTCTCCATCCAAGCCTGATCCCGATTAAACCCAAAACCCAATGGGTCCTCCTCTCCGTGGGATCCATATCCATATGGGATTTCATTTTCAAATGTGCTTCCATTTCCCGGTGTGATCCCTTTCCTTGTGGGATCCCAAGCTCAATGTGAACCGGTTTCCCAATGGAATCTCTTGCTCGATGGGATCTTGTTCCCCTTGTGATTGTTATCCTAGTGGGATTGCATATCATTAATATATTATTTTAAAATGATTATAGAAGAGATAGAAGCTTATAGAATAATTTAGAAACTTCTTGTAATTCATAAAATGATGACTCAGTTATAATGTAAAAAATAGCAAAAGGAGTATGTAAAAATGTAAAATAAAATAAACCAACATTTCAATACCTTTTTACATGTAACCACATACATCCCGCTGAAACAATATACATATTTCTTGAAACATCTATAAATTGAATAATAAATAATAATAAAAGTGTGAAAAATCATGTTTATACATGATCATATTTGAA